CAACTCAGTCCCTGCTAGTCAGTGTGTATATAATGGGCGGTCCACCTTCTCACCAGCTCTTGTGACTGTAAAGTTCCAATTGCAAAAAAGGGGCCCCTTGTCATTCCTCAGATGGTTCCAGTGGTCAGGAGGAAGGGGAGGAGGGTGAGAGGATGCTCTGATCTCCCTGCAGCAAGGGTTATTAATGCAATTGCTGGGATCCCTGCTGTAAATGCCCTCAGGCCTCAGTCTCCAGTCCCTACCTGCATTGGCCTTCTGTCAATATGGCAGATGTGCTCAAGTGGACTCCCACATGCCAATAGGAAGAAATTCTCAGAGCAGTCCAGTAAAAACTATATTACCACTCCCCCTCTGCCTCAGGGTGTTCTGGGAACTGTAGTTTATACAGTCCATGGCTCCCATTTAATGACTTTTGCCCTGGACTTCAACTCCCATGATCCTCAGCATCCAGCATAGAAGTCTGTAGGCTTTCCTGGCTATAGCTGACTGGAGGGGATAGTGCAACACAATGTCCAGCATAACAGTGAAAGTGAAATTAAACTGATTGTGAAGAGGGCAATGTCTCCTTCTCCATGATTCTGTAGTCCACCATCTAGCTACATTTGCTTATCCCAGAGTTCAACTTTAGGTGACCTGTTGTCTTGCCATGCATTGAGAAAGCAGAGTTATCATGTATAAACACACAGTAGCAATTCTGCCTTGCAGCACTGGGGTTATTTGTTTAAATCACAAGACACTATCTGCATGGAGTTTGCACATTGAGTTTCCTCCCACACTCCAAAGACATGCTTGTAGGTTAATTGGCTCCTGTCTAAATTGGCCCTAGTATGTGCATGTGTGATAGGGACCTTAGACTGTAGGCTCCTTGGGGGCAAGGACTGATGTAAATGTACAGTATATGAGTTGTCAGCGTTATATAACTAGCTGTAGTAAATATGTAGCACACTCCTAGTCAGCTAGGGGGAGCTCTAGCTCTAATTGTTAGTGAGGAGGGCTGAGTAGCAGCCTGGGTGTGATAGTCAGAGGAAGGTCAGGGCTGAGAGGCTCTGCAGACCAGCTTTCTGGAACTTCCCCCTGCACTAGAACTTTGAAGAAAGATCTAGAAGCAGTGGGTGGAGGTGAGGAGTGGCTGGTCTGTACTCTTAGAGGACCCTGGCCAATCTCCAACAGGAGGCTTGGCAAGGGGCCAGGAGAGCCTTTAAGAGTAGCTGAGCCTGCTCAGCAGCAGGAGAATTTGAGTGGAAGATGGAGAAGTGAGGCTGAAAAGCAGAAGCCTGGGCGGTAGCCCAGATGGGAAGAGGCTTACCTACAGCCAGAGGAGCTTGGAAGGAGGAAAGCTCAGGACTTCACCAGCCCCCAGAAAAAGAACCACCTATGCAGCAGGGAAGGAATGGCCCAGCAGAAGGCCTGAGAGCAGCCACTGACCCAGCAGCAGCATAGGAGAAGGACTGAGTGAGTAGACCTGCACCCCTCTGGGCCAGTAAGGGTAAGGAGCACTCTGATAGGAAGCTGGATTAGCTACTACACAGAACTGTCTTTTCTTAAAGTGACAGGCACTGGATTCCCTGCCAAGGAATTCACCCAGAACAGCTTTATAGGGAGTATCTGGGGTCTGGGGCGATACTACAGGAGATGCTGGCTAGCTCTCCAAGAAGAAAGATTTGTTCTTTTGCTGCTAAAAGAGACTTGTACATACAGTAGTTCAGGAAGATTGTCCTCTGTTGCCATACCCTTGGGCATCCCATACACCCCTACCCTATCCAAGTTCAATTTCCCCTAATAAAATAAAAAAAAAAAAGCTCATGAACTGGTTACTCTCTCCTGGATGTAAGTCTGAATGGAAAATACATGTTGTCTAGCTGTGCAGGACTATAGGGGGACCCAAAACTTCAGTGACTCCTAAGGGGGTAGTGCTGCAAATCAGAACTCACCTTGGCATTCATTGACCTTTATGCATTCAGCAGCCTTGTATAATCCTTTCTTAGAGTTGCTCGGTAAATCCTAATATCCTTATAATTAACAGTAAAGCAGCGTGAAATCCAGAACACAATCCCCCAAACGCATCACACTTTTCATTATGACCAGCAGAGGTTGATCTCATTTTTACGGTGACACGTGTGCAGTGACAAGCATTTCCGTAGCATTGCGGACAGATGAATGAAGTGGCCTCTATATTAATCAATGAACATGTTACAGGGGCAGCGCCTCCCTGTCACACGCTGAATGATTAATGCGTCCTGTTGATCACACATCAATGCATCCTAGCAGCTGGTATCAGGTGGGCTTGCCGCTTTATTAATTAAAAACCGTGGCATCCTGCTGTTTATTTGCGCACACCTTCCTCCTAAAAATCAGCTAACTAGGAAAGAGTGTAATTCTTGTATCTCAAAGTCACATTTATTAGTTTTACTGTAGACCAGAAAAGAACATTTGGGTTGATATAAAGAACAGTTCCACCCAGGGCCGTGGATAAGGGGGTCCCAGGCCAGCAGGGGAGCCCAGGCTGGGTGGATCAGATGTGGGCCAAGAGAGTGATAGCCAAAACCATGGCGGGGGGGGGGGGGGGGGAGATTACTGGAACAGATCTGTATGACTTTCTCTGCAGCAGCTGAAATCTAGCTTTCAGCTGCTGCAGAGAGAACCATACAGGGCATTGGTTCCAGTAATTGCTCCCCTGCTGCACCCATCACCCTCCCTGTGCACCATACATTTCCCCCTGCTGCCCAGGTCCCCCTGTGTGCCCCCACAGTGCTACTGGCTTCCCTCTTCTCCTTTCCAGCAGCAGCTGCAAACACACAACAGGATCCTACAGGATAGAGAGTGGGGGAAGGGTCTGGCAAATATGTCACCAGCCCCTTCCTTTGGTGAATGAATACAATGAATGATCAGTACCAATCACTCACTGTGTTCATTCATAACTGAAGCATAGTAAACTGTTTTTTTTAGTACACAGGTACACATACAGGGACTGGTACATATGGATACTTACCTACGTTACAGCAATCAGGTGTAGTCACTAAGGCAATTGTAAGAATACTATAAAGTGGATGAAGTCTACCTTTTATTTTTCCAGTGGAGCATGGGGTAATGAATGGAAGAACCCAATATGACTACTAAGGGCAATGTGCTGAGGAAACCAAAATCACAAAGTAAACAAGTTGTAATGTCAGAAAACTGCCGCTAGATGTCAATACTACTGAACACTAATACCCTGATGCAGTTCAGTACAACACAGAAAAATTACATAAAAGCGAGGCAGAATAACCAGAGTAGGAAAAAAAAGCCCAATTGAACTCCTATTTTAAATCAGGTAAATACATTTCAGATGCAATAAAACAAACAATGTTCAATGCCTGATAATGTACTTTCTTTTTAAAGCAGCCACAGCCTTAAATGACATAACTGTCCCCTGCCAGCGGCTGCAGAATGAGACCCTTGTCCTCATCTATAGGGAAGCAGTGGCCTCTCTGCAGAGGTCTGACAGAGCCAGAGCTCTACTATTAGCAGGGAGCATGAGCTTTGCTGCTTGTAGAGGTATAGGTCTGATTCAGAATGAGGTGTGTCATGCTATAACTGCTTCAGAAAAAGATTACCGGGGTGAGATTGGACACCTTTTGTTTTGATGCACCTGAAATGTATTTAATTGATGTAAAATGAGGTCTCAATTGAGCTTCAACTAAGCCATGTAATGGTGTACCTATTACATCTGGGGGTCTGTTAAATACACTCTGTGGTTGATTTAATAAAACTGGAGATAGCAAATCCTGGTGCAGCTCTGCATAGAAACCAATCAGCTTCCAGGTTTTATTGTCAAAGCTTAACTGAACAAGCTGAAGTTAGAAGCTGATTGACTACCTCCGTATCTCCAAAGATTTGTCCACTTCTGACCATTACACTAACACTATATGTCCATAAAGGAGTATGGACACCCTTCTTCCAATTTACTGAGTTCTAGAGTCTGTTAAGGCAAGAGTATACAAAGACTTTGTAGACAATGGTGACCTTCCAGCCTTGTGGTAACAGTTTGTAGAAGGCCCTTTTCTGTTTCAGCATGACTGTGCCCCTATGTACAAAGCCAACTCCATAAAGACATGACTTGATGAGACATGAATGGAGGCTGCACTTTATACAATGTGTATATGATGGAGTATACCTGACCCCTGCATTCTAGACACCATGTTGTATTCCTGATCCCCCTACTCCATATGCCATGTTGTATTATTGACCCAAACACCTTGTTGGATTCCTGATTGCTGCCATCAATACACCATGTAAATGTTGAAGTATTCCTTACTCTTGCACCCTATACACCATGTTGCTTTCCTGACCCAAGCACTCTGTACACAAAATTGTATTCTTCACCTGAGCACTCCATATGGCATGTTGAATTCTTGATCATTAGCTTCTGTAATTGTTGGAGTATTCCTGACTCCTGCACTGTGTATGCCATGTTGTATTTCAGGTCCCCACACTCTGTCATATTGTATTCCTGATCCCTGCACTCTATGCACCATGTTGTTCCAGCATGATGTGCACCTATGTACAAAGCCAACTCCATAAAGGCACAACTTGATGAGACATGAATGGAGGCTACACTGTATACAATGTGTATATGATGGAGTATACCTGCCCCCTGCATTCTAGACACCATGTTGTATTCCTGATTCATGCACTCTATGCACCATGTTGTTCCAGCATGATGTGCCCTATGTACAAAGCTAACTCCATAAAGACATGACTGGATGAGTTTGGGGTGGAGGAACTCGAGTGGCCTGCAGAGTCCTGACCTCAACTCTACTGAACACCTCTGAGATGAATAGGAATGCTGATTGTGAGTCAAGTCTTCTTATCCAATATCAGTACCTGACCTCAAAAATGTCTTTTTGGATGAATGGGCGCAAACTCCTACTGATAAGCTCAAAGATCTTGTAGAAAGCCTTCCAAGATGAATGGAGACTGCAAAGAAGGACCATCTCATATATTAACTTCCATAACTTTAGAATGAGATCCCTAAAAAAGGGTGACAGACTGGGGTCCAAAAGCTTTTGGCCATATTGTGCTCAATATAAGTGTGTGGACAGGGGCGGACTGACCATTTGGAAACTCGGGCACTGCCCGAGGGCCCGGGGTCGTTAGGGGGCCCCATGAGATGCCCCTGGTACCTTTTTGATAGGCTTTTTTGAGTTTGGGCAAGGACACAGGCGCCCCATGATCCCCTATTGCCTGGGGGGCTCCATGAGTTGTCAGTCCGCCCCTGTGTGTGGAGGGTGATAGGTTGGGCTAGGGAAAGGCTACGTTTTTCCTGGTAAAGGTTTGCATATAACCTCAGCTGCTACATGTCATGATTTTGACATGTGATTTTGAATGGAGGTACCCTCATATATATTTTTTGTGCTCAGTCTAAATAATCCAGACTTGATTATGTAAATTGCAAGATGCTTCATAAAGCTTTTTCTTTGCCATCCTCTGGCTCAAATGGGGTCTCGGCAGATGTCATTATTTCACTGTATCTTTTTTTTTTCATCCTAAGTACTGTATGTTACTGTAGCAATGTAACCAGCATTTAATTCTTCAGCGTCTCATTAAATTTCCCATTCTTGACTTGTCTTTCATTTATCTCTTCATTTTTTAATGCGATATGATGGATTTATGTAGCAAGTCCAGGCTATCCGTCTGACCTCTACCGCTGGATTCCATGACAGACCGGTCAAAGCAAAAAAAGCCAATTCTGCATTTCTCTGAAAATTTATGCCTTTTAGAAGCAACTTCTATATCGCTCTTTTCTTCTGCCTCTTAAAAAGAATATTGCAGTGGAATTACATCTAAAATTGTTCCACGGTAGTGACGTCATTTACAAAGATGGCTTCTCTAGATATATCTTATTAAATAATTGGGGCTTGAACTGTTGGGTATTCTGGAAATAAAACCTGCACTGTGTTTGTATTTAAGACCAAAAAAAACCCCCAAAAAGCAAAAAGTAAACCAATCAGTGAACTACTAATGCAAGCATTTTAACAGTGTTAAAGTGACCCTGTCCCTACAGGGTCCGAACTTAAGTAATGCAGGCCATACATGGTTCAAATTCAGAATGATTTTTCGTCCAAAAATCGAAAACGTTGTTCGCTCGGTAATCCGATGGTGCCATCAGCGATTTTGAAAATCAGCTGACCAAGTCATAAAGTTCACTCCAATAACAGGCGAAACTTGGGTTCCTTCCAGGTCACAGCTCATGCGCATATTCTTTTCGGAAAAACAATCGTACGATTTGACCATCATTGAGTCGAAAATCGGTCATTTTTCATGCATTTTCCAACTTACCCGATCACCGAAAAGGGGAGGAATCACAAAAATTGGCCAGTGCCATTGACCCACTAACAGAGCGAAAATCGGTCAATTATTCTTAGATCTGATTTGCGGACGAAAAATCGGTCGAATTTCAACCCATGTATAGCCTGCCTAAGCCTAGTCTGTAAAATTAGGCCAGTGTGTATTAACCTTCCAGGGACCTGTGTGTTAAACTTCTGCCACATTGATAATCTCTGGCCACAAAAGGCATCTGACACTTCCAAAGGTGAAAAACATTGTGCTTCCACACCACATGCTGTGGTTCCTTCCATTGGCTTGTATGTCCTTTAGTGATATAGAATCCCTGCACTGTATACACCATGTATATGTTGGACTATTCCTGACCCCTGCACTGTATACAACATGTAAATGTTGGAGTACACCTGTCCCCTGCATTCTAGACACCGTGTTATATTCGTGACCCATGCACTCTACACATTTTGTTGCATATTACATATGACTGACCAAAGTTTTTAGTGTCTCCACACATACTGTGGTCATCAACCCTTCTAATGAAGTTCACATTTAAAGTAGGTTTTAAAGTAGACAAAGTGTTGCCTCTAAATTATATTCTGCATGCAGAAAATCATATGTTATGGAAGAATGTCGTTTTTTTATATATATGGTCCTTTGTTTTACAGATTGTGTGTCTGAGACTGTCGCTTGTGGTGCAGTAATCAGGTATTTTGTGGGTGCAAAAACTGCAGCATACAGGTGAAACTCAAAAAATTAGAATATCGTGCAAAGTTAATTTATTTCAGTAATGCAACTTAAAAGGTGAAACTAATATATGAGATAGACTCATTACATGCAAAGCAAGATAGTTCAAGCCGTGATTTGTCATAATTGTGATGATTATGGCTTAGAGCTCATGAAAACCCCAAATCCACAATCTCAGAAAATGAGAATATTGTGAAAAGATGCAATATTCTCGGCTCAAAGTGTCCCACTCTAATCAGCTAATTAAGCCATAACACCTGCAAAGGGTTCCTGAGCCTTTAAATGGTCTCTCAGTCTGGTTCAGTAGGAATCACAATCATGGGAAAGACTGCTGACCTGACAGTTGTGCAGAAAACCATCATTGACACCCTCCATAAGGAGGGAAAGCCTCAAAAGGTAATTGCAAAAGAAGCTGGATGTTCCCAAAGTGCTGTATCAAAGTACATTAATAGAAAGTTATGTGGAAGGGAAAAGTATAGAAGAAAAAGGTGCACAAGCAGCAGGGATGACCGCAGCCTGGAGAGGATTGTCAGGAAAAGGCCATTCAAAAGTGTTGGGGACTTTCACAAGCAGTGGACTGAGGCTGGAGTCAGTGCATCAAGAGCCACCACACACAGACGGATCCTGGACATGGGCTACCTCTTGTCAAGCCACTCCTGAACAACAAACAACGTCAGGAGCGTCTTAACTGGGCTAAAGAAAAACAGACCTGGTCTGTTGCTCAGTGGTCTAAAGTCCTCTTTTCTGATGAGAGCAACTTTTGCATCTCATTTGGAAAAAAAGGACCCCGAGTATGGAGGAAGAATGGAGAGGCACACACTGCAAGATGCTTGAAGTCCAGTGTGATGTTTCCACAGTCTGTGTTGATTTGGGGAGCCATGTCATTTGCTGGTGTTGGTCCGCTGTGCTTTATTAAGTCCAGGGTCAACGCAGCCGTCTACCAGGAGATTTTGGAGCACTTCATGCTTCCTTCCGCAGACAAGCTTTATGGGGATGCTGACTTCATTTTCCAGCAGGACTTGGCACCTGCCCACACTGCCAAAAGCACCAAAATCTGGTTCAATGACCGTGGGATTACTGTGCTTGATTGGCCAGCAAACTTGCCTGACCTGAACCCCATAGAGAATCTATGGGGCATTGCCAAGAGAAAGATGAGAGACATGAGACCGAACAATGCAGAAGAGCTGAAGGCCGCTATTGAAGCATCCTGGTCTTCCATAACACCTCAGCAGTGCCACAGGCTGATAGCTTCCATGCCACTCCGCATTGAGGCAGTAATTGCTGCAAAAGGGGCCCAAACCAAGTACTGAGTACATATGCATGCTTCTACTTTTCATAGGTCCGATATTGTTCTATGTACAATCCGTGTTTTATTGATTGCATGTAATATTCTAATTTTCTGAGATTGTGGATTTGGGATTTTCATGAGCTGTAAGCCATAATCATCACAATGATGACAAATCACGGCTTGAACTATCTTGCTTTGCATGTAATGAGTCTATCTCATATATTAGTTTCACCTTTTAAGTTGCATTACTGAAATAAATGAACTTTTGCACGATATTCTAATTTTTCGAGTTTCACCTGTATGTATGCGGGGTAAGTTCAGACTCCTATTTAAGTCATGGCCAACATCCATGACCATGGAAGGATAGCCACTTCTTGCCTTGGAGCTCTGCATACCCTTTTCCCAGCATGTCTCTCTTTTCTAAATATAAAGTTGGGAGGTATGTCAAATCTAATAGCTTAACGTAGAGCTAAGGACAAAACTGTTTTCTTTTTTTTTTATTTTGAGTAAATAGGGGTTAGAACCATGTTCAGTGCCTTGAAAAAGTATTCATACCCCTTGACATTTTCCACATTTTGTCATGTTACAGCCAAAAATGTAAATGCACATTGGGGTTTGATGTGATAGACCAACATAAAGTGGCCCATAATTGTAAAGTGGAAGGAAAATGAGAAATGGTTGTCAAATTGTTTTACAAATAAATCTGCGAAAAGTGTGGCGGCATTTGTATTCAACCCCCCCCGGAGACAATACTCTGTAGAACCACCTTTTGCTGCAATTTCAGCTGCAAGTCTTTTTGGGGATGTCTCTACCAGCTTTGCATATCTAGAGAGGGACATTTCTGCCCATTCTTTGCAAAATAGCTCAAGCTCTGTCAGAATGGATGGAGAGCGTCTGTGAACAGCAATTTTCAAGTCTTGTCACAGATTCTCAATTGGACTTTGATTGGGCTATCCTAACACATGAATATGCTTTTTGATCTAAACCATTCCATTGTAGCTCTGGCTGTATATTTAGGGTCGTTGTCCTGCTGGAAGGTGAACCTCCTCCCCAGTCTCAAGTCTTTTGCAGAGTCTAACAGGTTTTATTCTAAGATTGCCCCGTATTTGGCTCCATCCATCTTCCCATCAACTGACCAGCTTCCCTGTCCCTGCTGAAGGAAAGCATCCCCACAACATGATGCTGCCACCACCATGTTTCACGGTGGGGATGGTGTGTTCAGGGTGATGTGCAGTGTTAGTTTTCCACCACACACAGCGTTTTGCTTTTAGGCCAAAAAGTTCAATTTTATGTCTCATCTGACCAGGGCACCTTCTTCCACATGTTTGCTGTGTCCCCCCACATGTTCTCAAGCAAACTGCAAATTGGAATTCTTATCGCTTTCTTTCAACAATGGCTTTCTTCTTGCCACTCTTCCATAAAGGTCAGATTTGTGGAGTGCACCACTGTCCTGTGGACAGATTCTCCCACTTGAGCTGTGGATTTCTGCAGCTCCTCCAGAGTTCCCATGGACCTCTGGGCTTCTTTTCTGATGAATGCTCTCCTTGCCCGGGCCTCTCAGTTTAGGTGGATGGCCATGTCTTGGTAGGTTTGCATTTTCGGATGATGGATAGAACAGTGCTCCGTGAGATGTTGAGATGATGGATTGAACAGTGCTCCGTGAGATGTTCAAAGCTTGGGATTTTTTTTTTTCAATAACCGAACCCTGCTTTAAACTTCTCCACAACTTTATCCCTGACCTGTCTGATGTGTTCCTTGGCCTTCATTATGGTGTTTGTTTACTAATGTTCTCTAGCAAACCTCTGAGGTCTTCACAGACCAGCTGTATTTATACTGAGATTAAATTACACACAGGTGGACTCTATTTACTAATTAGGTGGCTTCTGAAGGCAATTGGTTCCACTAGATTTTAGTTAGGG